CTCTCCACTTAAGCCCCTGGCATTAGGTCCTCATTTTCCGCCTCCCTCCCCGCTCCACCACACACACATTCTTAGCTCTAAAAGGTCACTATTTCCTCAGCACCCTCCTGAGTCCAGTCTATAAACTCTATCCTTTCCCAGAAGCTGGTTTAACGCTAAACTCTGCCACAGGGCAGGCCTGATAACAGCAGCAGCACCTTGAGCAGGGCTATTGGTGATTAAACAGGAGGCTTGCATTCGCAGGCGTATCCATCTACTGAATCACTCCAGATCGAAATGACTTTGGGGCTGTCCCTTTAAAACCAAGCACGCAACTAAGAAAACTCCTCCCTCAAGGAGGTTCCTTTAAAGGGGAGCCTGCTGGCTCAGCCCTTCAGCTTACACTGAGCAATCCTACTGAGCAGATAGCCGCTGGTCAGCATGGCTCAACAGTTTGTGGACAGCAAAATCCGACCGGGGAAGGTGGCTGTGTTCATCAAACCCACCTGCCCCTACTGCAGAAAGACCCAGGCGATTCTCTGCCAATTCCCTTTCAAGCAAGGGCTTTTGGAATTTGTCAATATCACGGCTGCCATCGACACCAACGCGATCCAAGATTATCTCCAGCAGCTCACCGGAGCAAGAACCGTGAGTGGGGTTGCATTTGGGAAGACAGGGGAAAGGTTTCAGATTCCCTTTTCTAAGGCTGTGAACGGGGACGCCTGCGCTTTTTCCCCAGGACGTGGCGAGGACTCGTGTCATTCCAGCCCCCAGAGGGCTGTGCACAGTGGGGGAGGGAGGGCGGCTGGGTGACCAGGCTTCAGCCTGCAGTCCTCACAAGCCAGAGAAGGGCGCAGGGCTAGAGGACCTGTGTGCTCACAATGATCAGAAGTCACCTTGGGAGCTTTCTGGAGTCCTTGTTCAAGGGCTGCTGAGAAATGACAGTTTTCAGCTTGCAGGGCTAGGGGAGTGAAGTGTGGTGGTCTGTGCAGTTCTGCTTCTTAACAAAGAAGCCATGTGCCGATTCCTTCTGTGTTCACAAAGCCGCATGGGCCTCGCTGACCTTCCGTCTTTCCCCCAGGCTTCCTTTAACCATAACCTAATTTGCTCATTCTTCTCTTGCCTAACTCCTCCCATCTGACTTTTGAATCAGATGGCCCAGAATGTGCCCCGGGCTTAATTGCGGTGAGTTTCTAAAGCTGTTAGAGTGAGCAGGTGGTTTCTCTGAGCTCTGGCCTGACTTTCACCAGTGGCTTGCTGCGTGATCACGGTCAAGTTACTGCCTCCTTGAACCTCAGGGCCCTTGGCTCCAAGACCAGAGAAGACTGCTGTTGTGTTAGGCGCTGTCGAGTCAGTTCACTCATAGCGACACTGTGTCTAACAGAACCGAGCACCACCCAGCCCCGTGCCGTCCTCACAGTGGTTCTTGGGTTTGAGCCACGGTCGCAGCCACTGTGTCCATTTGTCTTCCCGAGGCCTTCCGTTTAGTCACAGCCCCTCCGCTTTCCCAAGCATGACCTCCTTCTCTGCTGATAACATGTCCAGAAACAAATAAAACTCACTCATTGAGTTGATGTCCACTCATAGTACTAGAAAAATCTCGGGGCCATGGAGTCAGTGCCGATGCCCAGAGACCCTATAGGGCCGAGTAGAACTGCCCCTGTGAGTTTCTGAGACTGTGAGTTTCTACTCTTTACAGGAGTAGAAAGCCCAGTCTTTCTCCCTTGGAGCCCTTGGTTGCTTCCAACTGTGGACCAAACTTGCCATCACTGTGCACCACGTGGCTCCATAGTATTAAGAGGTGCTCTTTAAGTCCCCTTGGCTACGAGAGGACCACAGCCATGCCTCCAACGTGCTCTGCTTCCTCAGAGGCCCTGGTTTCTGGGGGGCCACAGAAGTGCATATCCTATTTCCGTTTGAGTTCGAGTAAACCTTTAGGGTTTTCTCTGGGTTCTGAGTATTCATGCATTAGGGTCTAGGCTCCAAACTTGGCTGATCATTGGAATCACCTGGGGATCTGGTTAAAAATACATGTATCTGGGCTCCATTTG